ATTTATACCAGCAAATTTATTAATTATATTAACCTACAACAAAAACAACAAAGTAATGAAAGTATAACAGCAATTTCGGATAATATTACGATTGAAGACATAGCAAAAGAGTTAAATTCAATTAGTATGAAATGATTAATTTGACAATAATTGATTAAAAAATTCGAATTATGATACTGTATATAATGAATGTGACGTTATCAAATTATTGACACCTAACATTTATAAATTTATAAAAAAATTTTTTTTATTTTGAATTTTTTAACAAACATAATGTTGTATATTTTATTCAAAGAACTTAATTCAATATTAGTTTCTTTTTTTATTATAAATTTCTTATAAAAAGTAATACCGTAACAATTTTTTTTTTTTTGAGGTCGTAGACAACATAAGGATAATAAATATTAAATGAGTTTTAATTTAATTTATTAATTGTGAATATAAAAATGATATAAAGGATTTTAACAAAATTGATTTCTTTTAATGTAAATATAATAGTAATAAGATTTTATAATAATAAAGTTATTTAACTACGATAGAAAATTGCATTATTCCATCTATGTACAGTAATTAAAATTGGCAGAACAATTTTAAATCAGACCCGGCCGTCCGGCTTTTTTTTTTAAGTTTTATATGTAAAAATTTTATAAAATACTATCGCTATATTTCCACCCGATTATTACAGCTGTTTTCATTATTTTTGTGACATCTGGTAAAATATTGACCGAATGATATTTTGCCGATTCGATAAGTTTTTGATTTCGGTAATTATCGATTATGTAATAATGTATATATCTTTGCTAATGACAATAATCTGTATAGGGAAAACTTGTAAGTATCGGACTTTAAAATAAGAGACGCAAACGATATCAAATATTATAGTATTATTTGATTTTCGTCAAATCATTGGGCTTTCAATTATATTTGTATCGGTCACGGTCAGTATAATTTGTTAAAGATTGTATTCAATACAAAATATAATTGAAAGTCCGATGACAGGTTTTTCCTTGACGGCACTAATTTATATTAAATGTAATACTTACAGGTTTTTCACTCATATTTCACATTTAATTCATTTTAACTGCGGTAATTTCAGACATCGCGTCTAGTGATGGGACCCAAACCCGATGGTTTCGGCACGTGCCCAAATCCCAAATAGCCGAAACTAGTTTGGGATTTGCC